CTTTAGATGACTTCTGTTTCCTTGCCTGAGGTGAGTAGACACTGGTCATTCAAGAATGCAGCATTTTGGAAGAAAACCACTATTTCCAACTGTTAACAAAGTTGATAATTCTAAGACTTATCTTCTCCAGGTCAGGAAGAATTACTTAAGCTACAAAATGTCTAAATAAATGATCTATCCATAGAATTTTAGAAAATACAAAACAAAAACAAAAAACTCTCAACAATACCCCACCTGTCTCAACATATCATCCTGGAATTTGGGAACCATTCGTGCTTTTCCAAAAACTCCATTTTCACTTTTTAGGATCATAGAGATAGATAGACACAGTCATGGATTTTGCTAGATACAAGGCCTTGGCAGCCCACTGCTGAAAGGCTTCTGAAGGCAGAGTTTTCTATGGGTTTATCTGAGTACCAAGCATAGGATCCCAGAGGGTCAGTTCAGTTCACCACTCTGAGAACTGCAGTGGTTTCATTTCGCCACTCCTCTTGAAGACCTAAAAATAAGGTGGTACATTGTGGAGTTTCAAGTGTTGTCTTACTACATTGGCGAGTTTTAGTTTTTGAAAATTGATCTCTCTCTTTGGAAGGAGAGGAAGTCACAGGAGGCCAGCGTACGGTAGATCCTGAATGGTCACACCCACATCACTGGAAAAAAAAAAGCAAAATAAAGAAAGAAACAAAACCACCTACCAGTCTTTTAAATTTATTATGCCAGTATTGGGAAAAAATTTACGGTTTAAAAATTTTCAATGCACATTGTACAATGAAAAGTAGACTTTAATGAAAACCTGGGGAAATACGGGACTAATGAGATGCTTGTTTAAAGTCTAGAGCCACTGTTGGTAGATGCTAATCCAGAAGGGAGGATACCACATATCGTACATGTCATGGGAACCAAATTTTGTAGGGTTAAAGACACTGGTATTTAAATCAGAGAAAAAAAGATAGGTTGGTTGTAAAATTTATTTTTTTGTATTCATTCCAATGAGTTTGACAAATTTATTTTAATTGCATTTACTGTGTATTTTTGGTGCTGAAGCCTGAATTCAGATCCTGCACTCTACCACGATAACAGTTACTCTGTCAATCTAACTGACTTAAGAAGTATCTAGATCAGTAAAGTACACCTTTAGCTGTGTCTCTGAGTATATGTACAGAATGGACCGAGGGAAAACCTCTGAATGTGCTTGCCGTCATCCCATAGGCTAAGAGGCCTGAAGGGTCCAAAGGAGTGGTTCTCAACCTGTGGGTCAATTTACTGACAGGCAAATCTCTGTCTCTAAAAGTATGATTCTTAACAGCAGCAAAATTATGTAGTAACACGAATATTTTTATGTTTGGGGGTCAGCACAACATGAGGAACTGTATTAAAGGGTCGCAGCAGCAGGAAGGCTGAGAAGCACTGCTCTCGAAGGTGAGGAAAGAGAACACCTTGCTGCTGCCAGGGGTCCACTCTGCTTCCTGCTACCACCACAGAAGCTGCTTTGTCATGCTCTCCGGCCATGACGGACTGAAGCCTTCAAACCCATGGGGAAAAGTAAATCCTCTTCCTAGAAGCGGCTTTCCTCCGGAATTTTACCCCAACAATAAGAAATGGACATAAACACCCTACCCCTAACTGAACAATTTAAATAACCAGCCAGTTAAGAATACTTGCTATTTGAAATGGGAAAGTCTTTCATAATTAAAAAAAAATATAGTCATAATCTCTATGTCAAACACTGGGTCAAATTCTGGGGTAAAATGTTAGCAAAAGTAGTCCTGAGATGTAATATGTCTGGACGTTTTTTATTTGATTTAGGGAAAAAAAAACTACCACAAATTGAAGATGAAATATTAAAAGTCCATCTTCGTGGCAAAGGTTAGGATAATACTCAGATCCACAGTGTTCTTCATGTCTATTTTTATTCTTGACCTCTTGCAAAGTCTCAGGCACATCCTTATGAAGAGGACACACTTTCCACAAGGGAGTTCCAAGAGTAAGTTTCCTTAGGGTAGTATCTAACAGTTGTCTGGTCATTTCATCACAAGAATTTTGATTGATGTCTAAACAAAAAAATTTGGGAAAGACCCAAGCATAGGAAAACAAAACAAAACAAAACAACAACAAAAAACCCAGGCTGTGGAGCTGGAGGCTCCAGGCATCTTAGCTGTCTAAGACCAGTTCAGACCAGTTCCAATCTCATCCATGAAGCCTTCTTGAATTTTTTTTTTTAATTCGGACTAATTTCACTTTCTTTTACATAACCCAGTCTTCTCTCCTGCTAGTGTGTGTTAGATTTCTTATATTATGGGTATGCCTAGGCTTGGGAGCTTAGCCTCTTGAGGGTAGGACCCTCACTGATACACCTTGTGTTTGTCCATAGATCCCTATAGTGCATTGAGCATAAATGAAGCACTCAGAGTAATACTCATGACTAAGTTGGTAAATATGACCACGAAGAAGCTTTGGATTTCCTAAAGAGGTTCATTGCAGCTCTCCCAAGACAGAACCGAACCTCACGGTGCTGTCAAGGAAACAGATCAGAGAAGACTGAACACAGATCAGGGATGTGGGCTATTGCCAAGATCAGCTCAAAGTCCAAAGAAGCACACATAACCTGGAGGGCAGCTTCTAAAACCATTGCCCACACAACCGCTTATTTTGTCTTTCATTAAAATGCTCCCCAAGTCAAAATGTTCACTTGGGCTAAGTAATGCATTTTTCTATGAGCATTTTTAATGTTGTTCCCCCTCCCTAAAAACCAAAGCAGGAAGGTCATTTATTAATATCCCTACTTCCTATGCTAGATAGGATGCTCAAGTCAAGTAGGTAAATGACCTAAGCACTCTGTCCCCTCATTGTGGGGCCTCCTCATAAAGTGAGCGCCAGGACAACGCTCTTGGTCTATTCTTCCTAGCAGTATGCCTGGCATCAGAAATAAAAACCCAACTTGTAATAGCACCTATAGTTTGCAAGAATCCGATTTCAGTGCACTAAGGTCTCTTACAAGCTGGGCAATTATCACTAATCAAGCAACATGAAAAAGATGCTTGTATTTTACAGGCTTATTATGTTGGGATATTAAAGGTGGCCAGGGTGCATCATCCAGCTTGAGTTTGGCAATGCGCTTGATAATGTTCTATAAAGTCTCTTCATTAAATCTGATTTGGCTTCTGTGGTCATGTTGTGGTTTTAGAGAGAAACAAAATTAACGAGATATGGAAACGAAGGAGGAAGCAGTCACTGAGTTCTTTAGGACCAAGTTTATTTGCTCACTTAAAAAAAAACAACCAACTTTAATTTGATTTATTTCCACAAAACACTGATCTTTAAAATCCAAATTCCTTTTAATTCAAGTCTCCGCATGTGGTGTCCCTGTCCTGAAGGAAGGCGAGTGGAAGGTATATTATCAAGTTGGTCACGGGGTCCTCATTGCTGCATAGACAGGGAGCCTCGAAAATACTGAGAAAACTGTGTAGGTTCCCTATGGCCAACTGACACCTACATCCTTTCCTAGACATAGACTTCCTAAGGGGTGAGAGCACATCTACAGTTTACAAATTGTACAACAAATTCACAAGCAAAGTACTACAGAAACGTGAATCCCTCCTGAGACCATGACCGTGGAGCTGTGTATATGTATTAACAGTGACACAGAGCTGGCTTCATATAGGGTATGTTTATTTATAGAGCCGAGGAAGACAGCCTCTACTGAGATCCAGAAAATGTATTCGTAAAAACAAGCATTTAAAACAAACTTCTTCATGACATTTGCAATTGAGCGCAAGTTCTTCGTAGTTCTCATTTGTAATAGAGCCAAGAATTTCCGTAGTTCTATAGTATGAAAATGATAGAATCAAAATGTGTCGTATCCCAAGGCCTTCCCATGGCTGTGTCTTAAGCTCTCGCCTTCATAGACCATGTGAAAGCAAGCAGAGCAAAATGGAAACAGGAAGCATTTGTGCCCGGGGTTGGAATCCAGTTTTGTGCAACGAGGATCCGTCCTTCTCTCTAGTACATTTAGTGTGGATTGCAGTGAGCTCTGTTGCTCAGCTAGAGAAAGGCATTCTACACAGTGCCCCGCAAAAGCTCAACTGTTTCAGGCTTGGTTTCCTCCCTGCGGTGGTGTTGCGAGAGTTACTGGATCCCGAGGATTGTAACTTCATCAGTGGATTAAAGTCTACAGCTGGACAGGCTACAGGAGGGAGGGACAGAGTAGAAGCAGGTGAGTGGAGGGTATGCTGTCTCTTGGCTTCCTGACAGCCGATACTGTGTGGCTTCCCTATGCCTTGCCCTCCTGCTATGCTTCTGCCTGCCACAGGCCCGAGCGCAGTGGAACCAGCTGACCATGGGCTTCTCAGGCCATAGACAGAAGCCTTTCCTCTGAAGTGATGGCAGGCCTTTGTCACAGCAGTGCAGTGACTAATGCACTGGGCTTGTGATTTCTAAAGGGAAGGACTGGGTACCTACAGCTTTCAAAAGAGCACTGAACACAAACTTATCTCTAATTCAAAGTTTTTCAGACAAGGTTCCATCACGTATTCCAAGGTGTCCGAGCCCTTCTGTGACGTGCAGACTGGAGCTGAGATCCTCCTGCCTAAGCCTCCAGAGGACTAGGGCAGAGGACTAGGGCAGAGGACTAGGGCAGAGGACTAGGGCAGAGGACTAGGGCAGAGG